CAGAAAAATATAGATATGGGGGACCACTTTAATGAACTGACTGCCAAGTTCTGTGTTTTTTAATTGAGGGTGGGAGGAACCCTTCCCCAACTTCCAAGTGGCAGAACCTCTCCAGGTCAAGTTGGGATTCTGGAAAGGTGCTCCCACTGGAAATAGACAGTTGGATGGGTTCTCTTTCCCTGTTGAAAGTCCAATGTGAGTCCCCCTCCTCCAAGTCAGCGATGACCTGCCTCCCAAGCCCAGCCAAGGACTTGGAGTTGCAGCGAGTTCCAGGTAAAATGGGAAATAAGATTTGTTTCTCACTGCTGTTTTCAGGATTTGTTAAAATAGTACCAAGAGATTAGCAGATAGTAGTTTTCATGGTAGATTCTCGATTCTGTGCCAATCTCCTCCTTTTTTAATTATAAAAGTAGTATATGCATGTTACCAAAATCACAGAAGAAATGGAGTGAAAAGCAGAAGCTCCTTTACCACTCCCACCTTCCTCAAACCCACTCCCTTCTCCACAGCCAGCTAATGTTTGCATTTTACTTTACTTTTATTTTTCTAGTAAGAGAATCCTACTATGTTGCCCCGGCTGGTCTCAGTGCTCAATTACAGGTATGAGCCACCATGCTCAGTCCTATTGTTTGCATTTTAACAGAGAAACAATGACAAAACCTTTTAAGACCTAAAGAGAAGGAAAACATCCAAATGCAGTGACTCATGCCTGTAACCCCAGTACTTTGGGAGGCTGAGGTGGGTGGGTCGCTTGACTCCAGGAACTCAAGACCAGCCTGGCCAACATGACAAAATCCCGTCTCTACAAAAAAGTACAAAAAAATTAGCCAGGTGTGGTGGTGAGTGCCTATAGTCCCAGCTACTTGGGAGGGTGAGGCAGGAGGATCACCTGAGCCCTGAGGTCGAGGCTGTGGTGAGCTGTGATTGTGCCACTACACTCCAGCCTGGGACCCTGTCTCAAAAACAAACAAAAAAAAATTAAAAAGGAAAACTAGAGGCACTGAGAATAATAAATTAACGTTTATGGAATGAACACTCATGCTAGATATTATGATGGTATTTAATATATATTTTTAAAAATTCAATTTGTTCTGATTGGGAGATACTGGGGGGCTTTGGAGCACAGATCATCCTCAATCCCCTCACATATGTGCAAGTACTTTGAAGAGGGCCCTGGAAACCTCTCTTCTTTCCTGCACTTCCTAGACTTTCTCCTTTAGGCTGAAAGGGGGCTGCTTCAGCAACAAAGAGCATTTCATAAGCAGAGCACTTCTTAAGCAGACATCCTGCTTTTTTTTTTTAATTGAAATCTGAATGTGGTGAGTCTGAACTAGGGCCCAGGGCATGATTAATTACAGCAACCATCTTAACCTGCCCAGGGGCTGGGCCTGAAAGAAATGAAGCCAAGCTGAAGATAAATGCAGCTAAGGATAGTTAGGAATGCTAACAAAACTTTGTTAACTGGCCCTGTTCTTCTTTCAGCTGCTAATGCAGAGTTGGAAGATTTAAGGAATCAGTTCCTGTTTCGCTGGTTCTGGCCGACCCCAGAATCAACTCCCTTGATTGGAAATAAACAGGATCTTCCTTTTTGTCCCCAGGAATGTGATGGAGGAAGGACTCTAAGGCAAAGGGCCTCTTCTGCCAAAGCAAAATAATAATAACAATAGGAATAAAATATCGCCCTCTTCATCAAGGGCGATAAGGAAATCTCCAGTTGTATGAGTTGAATCTTGTTGCTCTCCATGTGCCCGTCAGAGCTCCAGAATTCACAGGCTCAGGGTGATCAACGTAGGTTGGATTTGAACTTTCTGTGTGGTCCTCCTGAGTGCACTTGTACAAGCTGGGCTATGTGCTTCAGTTTGGGGTTCAGAAAACAGGATCACAATGACAGCACTTCTTGTTGACACAGTGCTGCGAATGTCTGTGTACAAGTCTGAGCGTCTCTCCTGAACAGTGTGTATTAGTCACAGATGTCCCTAGTGCCTAGCACAAGGCCAGAAGCTGGGGCACAGCGGCTGTGAAGTAAGATGGGGCAGGATAGGAAGCTTGCAGCTCACTTTCAATGAGTCATGGAATGGTGTGAGAGGGCCGTGACTGCATGAGCCCATCTTTTACCTCAGTGCTCCTGTGGCTAGGCCAGAAGGAGCTGTGTTCAGGACGAAGCCCCTACGGGACTTGTCTGTTATTTTCACCCTTGTAAACTCTTTGTATTCTGAAGGAATTATTTGTCTAGCTCCTAGGTCAGTCTTATCTCAGTGTTTTTGTTTTTGATTTTGCTCTCTCCCCTCCCCGAGGGAGGGGTACATTACGGAGGAACTTCACTATCTTCACTATTTCTGTTTAATCTTCGTTTTTGTTCCAAACGGTGATGAGGAGGTAGAAGGATGTTTCCCCTCCCGGCTTCCAATCTTCCTTGGTCCAGGGACACAGATTCTTTTTCTTTTCCTTTTACCTCTCTCCCTTTCCCCCTCTTCCTCCTTCTGTTCCTTCTATTCTCCTTTCCCCTCCTCCTTCTCCTTGTTCTTCTATTCTGAAGACTAACTCCAAAAGCTGAGGAGTAAGGACAGGTGAATCCAGTTTGTTTCTGCTGGTGTCCTCCCCCAACAACATTCAGGAAATTACTTCTGCTATGGTCTGAACGTTTGTGTTCCTCCCAAATTTGCATGTTGAAGTCATAACCTCCAAGGTCTTAGGAGGTAAAGCCTTGAGGGGTGATTAGATCATTGGCGTGGAGCCCTCAGGAATGGGATTAGTGCTGTTATAAATGTGGCCCACAGGAGCTAGCTTGTCCCTTCTACCATCTGAGGACACAGGAAGAAGGCCATTGTCTAGGAACCAGAAAATGGGCCCTCACCACACACCAAATCGTGGGTGCCGTGATCTTCAGCTTCCCGGCCTCTAGAACTGTGAAAAATAAATTTCTATTGTTTATAAGCACTCAGTTTATGGCATTTTGGTATAGCAGCCCTAGTAGACTAAGACAACTACTTTGCTCAAGAACTTTCAATAACTCCCTATTGTTAGTTTACAGTTCCAACACTAAAGCCCCCTTCCAACAGAGCTATCGTGATTTTAATTTTTGTGATTTCTGCACATGATCCTTCCCCACACCACCAACTGGCCTTCTTGATGTGTTCACAGAGCAGAGACAGCAGTGGGTGGGGAAGCATTTCCAGCCCACACTAACAGCTTCTGCGAAACCAATCAGAGGACGGAGAGCTGGGACACGTGGCTGAAGAGGTAAGAATTGATGGGATTATAAGAGATCTTCAGGGACATACTAGAGATTCTGAACTGTATTAATTATTAGTTGATTAGGAGCCATTGAAAGATTTTAGGTAGGATCAAATTGGACTTTTAAAATGGTTGCCCTGGGGCTATGTGGAGGAGGCAATAGTAGTGAGAGGGTGTGGAAAGGGGGAAAGATACCTGCCCACTGTGGTGACATTGGTAGTGTCTGCCGAACAGCCTATGCTCAAGACGACCCAGCTGTGTATGGAGGCAGGGGGATGGATGAGATGACCTTCAGTAACTCCCTTCTGGTCGGGGAAGCGAGAGCCATTCTCTAATCTCATCTTTGAGTCGGCTTGGGCCTGTTTCCAGAAGTCCTCTTCTATCTGTCAAAGCCCTTCTAGGAAAGCTGAGCTGAAAGGCAGTTGCGGAGGGCAGAGTGCTGGCTGGGCCCGGGCTCACTTCCTCCTTTTCAGGCAGGAAAAGCAGACAAAAGTGGACAATGGACCAGAGAGGGCGCGTCCAGCAGAGGAGGGAGGAGGCGGGGGAGCTGGTCCTTGGGCCAGCAGGCCTGGGAAGGTTCCCTTTGATCCCCTTATCTCTGGAGGGTAAGCTTTCTTTTTTGGCCTGCAGGACCTTTTGTTGCAGCATTTCCTGGAATCCCCCAAAGTAAACACAGTCAAGACTGCATTCTTACTGCTCCACTCTTCTGAGTCTGCTCCTCCCAGCTGAGAGAGGGGCAGGAAGGTCAACCCTCCGAGATCAACACTGCTCATTAAAATGCTGACAAGGGCCCACCTAACAATGTGTTAGGACCAGGGCTGTCTGAGAGACGATGCCAGTTAAGGCTGGGGTGGCTCTTAGCTGCAGCAGGAGTGGAAGATGACAACCAGTTGATATCTGGTAGCTTTGTGCATGATGGGGTTGGAGGCAAGAATAGGCAAGGAGAAAATTTGGATCCTTTCAGAGAAAAACAGGCATGGGTTTAGGGATTTACCTGCCCACCGGGCCTACTTTCATCCAGACAGGAGGCCCATGGCCAGCTCTTCCAGATGGGGTGGGTGGGGAACAGCGCGAATGACCCCACTGATGACTTGAAGCCTCACAAATCTCTTTCCCTCTGAGGAGCAGGAGAAGAAAAGCCTGAAACTTGGGGTCACCAGCCAATTATCCTTCCCCAGGGTTTATTATTGTCAACTCTTAGAGGCCACAGGGAAAGGATAGGGTGGTCTTAACTAAGCCCACGTTTTATTTATAGGGAAATTCAACCCCCCCAATCCCCCTCCCCTCCTACAAATGGAAACTCCGCCCCACCAGGAGTCCTTCAACCTTCTAACTTACCAGCTTTGGTGGGGAGGGGAGTTCAGCCAAGAGGCCCCTGCTCGCTGCAGTTGAGGGCCCTTATGTAACACAGCTTGCGAAATGCAGGAAAGGCCCGGCTGGCTACAGCTCAGCTAACGGCTCAGAAGGGGCGCCCCTGATAGGAATCCCCCCACCTCAGGCCTGGCCCAGACTAACGCGATAAAGTTGTGGGCATGGAGTGTTGGGCACTGGGACACCCGGGGGAGGGAGGGGCGCGGGGAGTCGGGGTCAGGCCGCCGTCGGGGCGCCGGGCGCTGCGGGCCACCTGTTGCAGCGGGCGGCCAGGGCTCACCTGCGCGGGGGCCGGGCTGAGGGGCGGCGGCGGCGGCGCGCGGCGGAGCTGAGGTCCCCGCCGCCGGCCCGCGCCTCCGGCTTCCGCTGGGTCAGCTGACTGCCCAGTGCGGAACTGTGCGCCCGCCGCGCTCCCCTGCCGCGCTCCCCGCTGCCGCCGCCGCCGCCGCGCCCCCACGCTCCGTGCCGCGCGCCCGCCGCGTCCTGGCAGCCATGGCCGGGCTCGTGGTCAGTGGAACTCAAGTAAGTCCCGGCCAGCCCCGCCTCCGCCCGGGGCGCAGTCCGCGTGGGGAGGAACAGCGGCGCACAGGGGTTCCCCAGGGCCTAGACACCCCTGTCCCCGCCTCAGGGGGCTGCGTCTGCAGGCGGTGAGCGTCAGGTGCTCAGGTTCGCCCTAGTGGGGCGAGTACAGACCCCGTTTCGGGCCTGGCACACACCCTGGCTCTGCGGGAAGAACACCCCCAAGGTCCCCCGTGCCCCCCACTTCCCTCTGCCCTTATCGCCTCACTGAGCAGGCCCAGCGGACACCGTGCTGACGGCCCCCGGTACTTTTGGGGGCCCACAGAAAATGTTCCAATTTCATAATCCGAATTTTTAAAACTTTTGGTCAAATAATCGATTTTGATAAATCACACTGACATAGTCATCTTTATTCCAATGCAGTTGTAATATATAAATTTACTTATTTGTAAATAGAGGAAGGGGTTTATGTAGGCAAAAGTGTCTAGGGGTACCCAAAGTCCCAGCACATCCCTGGAGATGAGGGTGCTGGTGGGCCCTGCGCTGAATGGGCTACGCCATAGCCAAAGGCTGATGGAAGGCTACCGACCTCCAGTTCTGTTTCCACACTCGATTTCTTGAACAGGAGTCTGTGACGAATGGCAACGCGCCAGTTTCAACCCTGGGTGCCAGACACCCAGACTTACATGCTTTTAGCGCTGTAGTCAATGAAGCCTCAGGTGTTCATGGCTGGAGGGATGAACCCAGCAACGCCGGGACCAGGTGTCTTTCTTACCTGCTGAAAAAGCCAGTTCTCTGTCTTTAACCTCTTCTCTTCTCTGATGAAGCCAGAGCCCTCTTACTTCCCACCTTTCCCTGCACACCCTGGAGAAATAGTTCTGAGTTTTTGAAGCTCTCCTCTTGGATTGCCTAAGGCAGGTAGTGTCAGGCACAATTGGATTTTGAGATTACTTTGGGCTGAAGGGAATGATTCTTCCTTAGAGGAGGTTCTAGGGGTTTTTACAGCTCCTACAGATGCAGTGAGGGCCATCTGTGCTGCCCATTAAACTAGCCGCTGCCTGTTTTCTTTTTTTCCAGAGTCCTGTCATTTCATGAGGTACACATGTTTATTGAGTGCCTACTGTATGCCAGGCACCATGCCAGGTGTTGTTGGAAATAAGCCTTTCCTTTGTCTCTGTACACCCCCCCCCATTTAACATTTTTGTTGCTTAGGAATACTGGCTCTGTCCCTTGACCCACAGCCTGGGAGGAGAGAGCTGGAGAAAGACCAGAGTTCGGAAGTGAGCTACCAGCTTGCGGACAGGCTAAAAATGACCGGTCTTGTTCAGCCATCGGGGAAAGAGGTTTTTTGTTTTGTTTTGTTTTGTTTTTTCTGGGAGTTACTATGACTGCCTGGAGGGAGGGGCTGGACAAGAGGGCCTCTTCCTTCTCTTGGAGTATCTACCTAAGAAGAAGGGTTCTCCACCCCCCAGACCCTAGGTCTCTGTGTTTTCAGATGTGGTATTCTCCCGGTGTACCTTGCTACAAGTTCAGGGGGCTGAGCACTTTCCTGTGCTTCCTTTCCCTTTGCTCTTCCTGCGTTTCCTAGATTTGATTTTTCCTGCAACACCTGTTCTTAGCCTAGTCCACACAGCCCAAGGGCATTCATGGAAGTGTGGGTGAAGCATTTTAGGCCCTTGGGGACTGTTTTACTAGACCAAGTTGCCTGGGGGGGAGCTAAGAAGGTAGGTTGGGAAAATGCCCCTGGAGAGTCTTAGTGCCCCATTTCCCAAACTGCCCAGGTTAGTGGATTTGAGTGCCTGGCCCCGGAGGGTTGTGTGTGTGTGTGTGTGTTTTTTTTTTTTTTCTGACATTCTGCTCCCAGTGATTTCTAATGGCTGCCATTTTAAGAGGTAGCACCTTGAATGTGGGTAGCATGGAATAGTACTTGTCAGACTTTAGTAGATCCTTCTTAAAGGGAGGGAAATAAAAGCCGCAAAACTTCCCATGAGCCCATCGTGTGAATATAGTTTTTATTACAGTGTTACTCAAATATAAAAACATAAAGCCAGATACAAATTTCCCGTATCCAGAGACCTATAAATCCCAAATAAAGGGATGGTTTAAGTGCAAAGAAAAAAAACCCTATACAATTAAACAATTTAATGAGATGAATGCTGCTTGGCTTGAAGTTAGGTCACTGCTTTTAAGGCCACTGTGGGCTGACTGCTGTGGAGCTGGTTTTTAGGAGCTCCACAAGCCTATGATGCCACATGCCTGGGGATGTTGCAGTCTTCCTGTTGCTTTTCTCTGTAAAAATCTTTTCATTTGCCATGGGTCTGACTTCATTTGGCTTCTCTTGGCTTGAATGCATCATTTATGTTCAGCATTAAGTCATTTCTCTTTCCTCTAGCTTAGACAACTTAATACGATTGTAGACACAAATACAAACTTGGAATTTAGGCACTGAAATCTTGTGCCCAAGAGATACTGGACTAATGAATCCCTTCTGTGGGGAGAGTGGTCTCATTCAACAGCTGTTTAACAGAGTGGCCACTGGGTGCCAAGGACTTTTAATATGTTAGCTCATCGCATTCCTGTAAGTACAATAGGGACAATAATATGCATGGGGCTGATTCATAAGGCTTGAATAGATAACAAGCACATGATAGGCATTTAATACATGTTGGTTTTTACATTATTCTTAACACCTTTGGAGGAGTTAGTGTTAGTCCAATTGCAGAAGAGGAAACAGAGACTCGAAGATGGTGACTTATCCGTGACAACACAGCTAGCAGTGGCAGTACCGGGAATCAGATTTCTACCTATGGTTGTTTCTACTCCAACAGCTTCCAGTACCACACATACACGTATTTATTTATGAATGAATGATAAGGGCTTGCTCTGTTGCCCAGGCTGACATGCAGTGGCGCAATCATAGCTCACTGCACCCTTGAACTCCTGAGCTCGAGCTGTCTTCCTGCCTCAGCCTCCTGAGTAGCTGGGAATACGAGTGTGCATCACTGTGCCCAGCTCAGTATTACAAATTTAAAATAGAGGATCTCTCACCCCTGGCTAGGGGCAGGCATCATAAAATAATCTCCTCAACATCTGACTGTTGACAAACTCATCTCCAGAAATGCCCTGGGAGCCAGAAAGTCCCAAAGCAAAGTGAAACCTGCAGTCTTCTATGGTTTGGTCATTTTCTGCAGCTTTAGCTTGGAGGGATTGGGTGTGCACGTGTATGGGGACCCCTTCCAGACTCTCCTTTTCCTTTCCAGTTTCTTCTCCATAGGGATCTTTAACTTGTTATATTTTCATTTGCCTGGTAATGGTGTCCCTTTCTGTTATTCCACACAGGGTGGAAGTCTTAGGGTACAAATTATAGAAAATAGAGAAATTATAAGTTCGAATCTTTGTTCCTCAATGCAGTCTAAATCAAGGTAATTGACTAAATACAGTGGTGTTCTGATTATGCTCTTGCTTCTGTGCCATTTAAGATATATTAATCTCTGTATCCCATCTCCCTTTTGCTGAAGAAGCAAACTATTTTTGGTTTGGCTCTTCTGGCCTTGCATCTTACATTAGGTGGTCCTGTGCTCTAAGAAGCTTCCTGACATCCTGAGAGGTAATAATGTCTTCCCTCAGAAGCTCTTCTTAAGTCTTTTTTCTAGCTTCAAGTGTTGCTTGCAATATCTGGCAGTGACTGCTTGCTGCTTTTAAGCCTTTTCCAGCCGATTTGAGCCCTTCAGCCTGGTCGGCTTAACTCACATCTCTAAAAGCTTCTACTTTACCACGGGGGTTATCTAAGCATGCAGATTACTTACCAAGTTGGTTCTCATGCTAAACTTTTGAGACTTGGTCTTCACATTTGAGAACAATGAGAACAACTTGTATTTTTCTTAGTCTTCCTGGGATGTCATATAGTTAAGACCATGTAATGAAACAAGCTGCTGACAGTCTCATCAGATGTTGTGAGTGATCCAAATGCTTTGTGGTGATAGCTCTCCTTGGTGCTCCTGTTTCCTTTGAATGGAACTCCTACAGAAGAAAAAGGGAAGCAAATATCCCTCTCTTTTCCCAGGCTCTAACACTCTTCTTGGGACCTCAGTGTAGCACCATGGGAGAAGTTCTTGCCCTTTCAGCTCAGAAGACTCATTTTGAAGCCAAAACATGATGATAGATGCACCATTGGCATTTGCTGATCAAGAAAACTCGTGTCTGCCTGGCATGGTGGCTTGTACCTGCAATTCCAGCTATTTTGGGAGGCTGAGGTGGGGGGATTGCTTGAGTTCAGAGTTTGAGATCAGCCTGAGCAACACAGCGAAACCCCATCTCTTAAAGAGAAATCTGAAACCCACATGTGGATTTGTAAACACTCTATGGCTCCCAAGTTGGAAGTCCTTATTTATGGCATAGGACTTGATCTGGGCTCTGTCACTAAGAAGCTGTATTGTGCTGGGCAGGCCTCTGGAGTCTTAGTTTCCTTGTATAAAACATAAGAAGTTTTGACAAACTGGGTCTCTATTAGATTTAGTCCTTGGCCATTCTAAGAGGAAAGAACTCAGTTTCTACATCTAAAACTCAATGTCTCTACTATATATATCACAGAGGTCTTGACTGATAATATGTACAAGGTAGTGGTGCAGGCTGGGGTGAATGGGATGGATTTTCTGGTGAGTGCCATGGACCTGGGGTTCACTGTGAATGTACAATACAGAAGAAGCTGCTGATTAAGCAGAGGTCCTGAGGGAGATCGAAGTCCCCAGATGGACTAGAGCCTTATAGCCACAGTCTCTCTTTGGCGTATGATTTCTCTCTCCGCTTGGAAGCAGAACTTAATTTATTACACAAAGAACTGTGAAGAAAGATGGACCCCAGGTAGAAAGAGGAGAGACTGCTAGATTGAACTTAGAGTCTTTTATTTTTTAGCCTATATCTTCTTGAGTCAAAATTACTTTATTGGAGTCAGCTGTTTTTCTGTTCTTTCTCCTTATTTTCTCTCCTAGAATGAAGTTACTGAAGGAGAGTGGATATAGGATATTGTATTGTCAGCAGTTTGTCCTCAGTGGATAGGAGAAGGTTGAGAGGTGACTGGAGATGTTGAGGGTGTCAGGGTTCAGTGTAGCTTATATGAGGTTGAACCATGTAAAAGAGCTATTTTGTGGTTCTAAAATGGATATTCGTAGCTCACATGGTTGAACCTAATATCTGAGGATGTAAGATAGTCACCGTAGTCTTGTTTCCCATGAGGAAACAACCTCCTGGGGAATCTCTTTCTCATTCTAAGAGATCTTTGTCTGTATACGTGGAAGAATGTGATTTGTAGGGAAACCAGAAGAAGGTTGTAGCTGTGTGTTGGGCTTGGATTTTGAGCTGGGGGTTGAGCATGTTGTACTTTAGGGAAACAGCATGCATTGTGGCCCATTGGTCAGCTCAGCCCCATGGGTTTATTTTATGGTTTGGGGATTAGTTGCCAGTCTGTCCACAGAGTGCTGTCTGTAAAAATGGGTTCCAAAAACTGGGTGATTAGGGTAGTGAGAAAGCCCACTGACCTTCTCACAGGCATCAGTTCTGGAATCAGTTCAGTTCAGCCTTTTAATATTTGGGCACATACAGGTACTTAATAATAAATAATCTGTAATAGATAGAAGAATGCCCAGGGAAACAACTTTGTGCACAGAGTGGGATTGGCTGCCAAAGGGCCTCTGGAGGAGGGACATTCAGGAGCCCCAGGCACACATTGTTGCCCTGTGGCCTTCAAATCAGCTTTTTTTGGGTGGGGAGGGCATTTTGTACATGGTGGCAATTGGATGGGATTGGTGGTCTGGGAAGGTTTTCTTTTCCAACCCTGTTTGTTCCAGCACCCTGAAGGTTGAATGCTGGCAAGTGCATCTGCTGTGTGTTTGATGAGGTGATGTGCATACCAGGGTACTGGGGAACAGTGGAGGAGAGGGAGAAGAAGGGGCAGAGGAGCAGCTGTTGCAAAAGCCCCTGAGTGAGAGGGCGATTGTTGCAGTTATATCAACGTGCCCTAATATTCAGGTTTCTTTTGGACACCTGAATCTGGCCAATTTTAGTCCAATTTCCATTGTCTTGGGATTAGTCTCCATCATGTTAACTGCACCAGGAAAGGGGAGCTGTTGGTGGTGTCCTTGGAGCCCCCAAAGCTGATTTGATCAGGGAAACAGTCACAAATGTGGCCTTTTTGTGTGTGAGAAACTTGCGTTTCAAGTTGCAGAAGCAATCATTGGATCAATAATTTCCGGATTGGGAGCAGATGGGTGATTTCCATTTGCCACATTGTTTCTGTTCCATTTAATTTCCAGGTGTCCTACATAGGCCAGGACTGCAGAGAAATTCCAGAGCACCTTGGCAGGGACTGTGGACATTTCGCAAAGAGGCTTGATCTGAGCTTTAACCTTCTGAGGTATGTAACCTTCACAAGATGTAGGCCAGGCCTGGGAGGTCCAGTCCTCCTGGGTACTTTAGGGCTGGCAGATGAAAGTCAAATGTTCCAACTCCACATAGGGTGTCCTTTTATTCAGCAGAAGGCTCTGAGAGGTGTGGAATCATGCCCCAAAGGTTTGACTGTGTCCGGTGATTCCTTGGCTGTCTTTTTTTGTGCTGCTGAAGATGCCTAGGCAGCATGTTGAGCCTCATCCATTTCACACCAGTTCCTATGAGAGGGCCATCATATTTTCACTATGTTCTTTTCATTTCTCATGGATACCTGTGCAGACAGGTCAGAATACTCTTGGGGAAGGAATGAGATGGAGCCTGCAAGAGTGTTTTGGGGTGTCTAGGTGTGCTTTTTAAGGGTAAACACATGTCCCAAAACATTCGTCGAGTCACAGGTAGGGTGTGTGTATGTGTGTGTTTTCTTTCTTTTGCCTTTTTATGAATTGGAGCTTTAAATGTTTGTGATGATAATGTCTCCCAGATGGTGTTTCAAAGCAATTTAAACACTGTCGGTGTGGGGTGGGTGGGAGGGAAACTCTCTGACAACTGTTCAAGTCTTGGCAAAGGTAAGTGTGATCTTGTATATTATTCCAGTGGAGAATACAGGCAGTTATTTCCTTTCTCCCTAAAAGGTTATGCCTTGTGCCGAATTTGGGGGCTTGGAGGAGAGAAGTAAGAGGTACTTGGGAAGCAGGTGTCAGTGGGATAAGAGCAGGGGTCAGGCAGGGCGATCGCTTTTCTCCTAACAAGCTGGTGCCACCCAGGGCTTTTTCCTCAGTGCCCTCCTTGAGAGCTGTGCTGCCCTCTGAGTGGGACAGACTGTCCTGGGGTCAAAGGAGAGATGAGGAACCTGAATTCCATTCCAGGGCCCAGGCACTTTCCTGCTTCTAGGCCTCAGAGTCTTCATTTCCCACTGCTGAATCTGGATACTTGGGAATTATAAATTTGAGGGAAACTGAACACAACTCAGGGCAATAAGGCACAAGAGGTAAAAGAGGATTTGTTTGAGGTCGGCCAGTGGAACTCCTCCGATGCTGCTCGGGAGTACGCGGCCACACAGAGCTGCGCTGTCTCCAGGAAAGGGGCACCGTGAGGGTTGTGGTGGATGGAGAGTGGCCGCTGTCTCTGTATTCTTCCTTACTCCCAAAGGGTTTTTGTGCATCTGGGGAGAGGTGGAAACTGACAAGTTGTAAAGTAGTACACAGCGATGAGAGGAAGCCAAATAAATACATGCTGACTCTAGAGAAATGAAGGATTTTTTTTTGAGATACCTTTTTCTGAGCACTTTTTTTGAGTGCTCCAGCTTCCCAGAGCAGACTCAGGCAAAAGGCTCCCTTTCCTGGGCATGGAAGGAGTTCCTCCTGTGTGACCGGCCTCCAGGGGCTCAGGGCACTGGGGCTCGGGGTTGTGGTTGCCCTGAGTAGTTAGTGGGAGCCGGATGTGGGTTTGAGGAGGCTGGGCCCCATGAGGGAGCATCAGTGTATGTGGGTCATGGGACTGGGCTATCAGGTCTGAGGAAACACAACCATCTTTGTGGTGTCCAGGGGCCCCGCCTTTCTTTGGGAGAGGAGGGACTGGACCTTGGGAGGTGTGTATGTGGGGCAAGAAGGGGCTGTTGGCTCTGAGGGGCTGGATCTATATGGATTTATTATAGGAAATGACACATCCTAGATGCAGGAAAATTTAGTAAGGGGGTGGCTGAAGAGTGGATTCAGAAGGAGAACACCAAAGATTTGTATTTTCCTTTGTTGAGAGGAGACACATTTCTGTAGTGTTGAGTTTGAGTTGGTTTCACATCTGGTAGGAGCCTGTTCTTGTCCGTGTTGTCATCAGTGTGTGAGCTCCACACTGGATTGTAGCTGAGTTTGGGCAGGGATGAGCAGTGGAGGGGTGAGGTCTAATGTTCAGAAAAAGTTTGTGTTTAGGGACTTGGTTATGCTGGAGACAGTTGCAGACCAGAATGGAGAAAAGCACTCCTGACTTGAGTTGGGTGTGCTTGGGAGTGGATCACCTTTGATCTTCTTTATTTACCTAATTGGAGGGAGGAGCAGGGAAGGCAACACTATTTCTCTGGGGTGTTAGAGGAAGATTTGAGCTTATTTGGGCACTGGTCTCTATCTTTGCCTTCAACTGAATCGACATCTAAGATGTTTTAGATGCTTAGCTAATTCCTCTTAAAAAGAATAAGCAGAGGCTGGGCGTAGTGACTCACGCCTATAATCCCAGCAGTTTGGGAGGCCAAGGCGGGCAAATCACCTGAGGTCATGAGTTCAAGACCAGCTTTGCCAACGTGGTGAAACCCCGTCTCTACTAAAAATACAAAAAATTAGCTGAGCGTGGTGGCGGATGCCTGTAATCCCAGCTACTTGAGAGGCTGAGGCAGAAGAATTGCTTGAACCTGGGAGGTGGAGTTTGCAGTGAACTGAGATCACACCATTGTACTCTAGCCTGGCCAGCAGGAGTGAAACTCTGTCTTGAAAGAGGGGGGGGGGGGGAGAGAGAGAGAGAGAGAAAGAGAGAGAGAGAGAAAGAGAAAGAAAGAAAGAAGCAGGAGAGGGGAAAATAGGGAGAAGAGAAGAGACAGGAGATTCTAAACTTACCTTCCAAATGAGTGGGGATGGAGTGGATGACCCAAGCTCTCTAGGCTTCAGGGATCATGATATCCAAATGAAATATTGTAAATCCATATCCCGTGTTCTGTAGAAAGTTTCTCCCTAGGCCCCTCTGTCCCTCACTATTTCCATGGGATTGTAGGGAGCATGTTTCCCAGTCAGGCTGCCCTGCACCCAGCACACTGCAGTCCCTGACCATATTTCGGCTCTGTTGTCTGCTATTTTTCCTCTTGAGCAGCCTGCCTGGCCCCACTTGGGATACCCCCTTCATTTTTCCAAAGCCCAACACCACGTTATTACATATTGACTTGTACTGCTAGCTGAAGGTGTAGTGAAGAGGGTTGGGTGGTAATTGTGGCACACAGCAGGACATAAGGCTGGGATAGCACTGTTCCTGGACATTTTTGGGGTTCTGCTTGCCACAGAGAATTTCTCCCTGGCAGTGCCTCTAATTAGGGTCAGGCCTCCTGCATGTGACTAATGCCTCTTTCTCCCAGGCCCTTTCTCTCTTTTCCATGCCACTTACCATCTTTCCAGAGCTATCCTCAGAAGCACAAAATTCTTCCGTTGTTATATACAGAAAAATTAACCCTTTCCTCTCCTTCTAGAACATCTCTACAGGCCTTTTTTTTTAACCTCCAAAAGTCATATCAGGATATTGCCTGAAACAGAGCAGTACCTTGATAAATAAAAACTTTGCACTCCCCTAGGTTGCAAGATCAGCTGCAGTACATTTGTGTTTTAGGGCAAAGTTTACTTTTGGACAAGGAGTTCTGTTTATTCAGTTTTTAAATAGTTAATACATGCACATGGCACAACCTTTAGAAGGAGCAAACATGCAGTGAGAAGAAAGTCTCATTTACACCATGTCCTTTAGCCTCCCAGGTTCCCTTTGTAGAGCTACCTATTGTTATTCAGTTTTTGTGTCATCTTCCAGAGATATTCCATGCATATACTAACATGTGATTTTTAAATCTTTTCCCAACTTTATTGAGGCATAATTGACAGCTAAAAGTTGTATCTGTAGCATACAACATGATGTTCTGATATATGTGTACATTGTGAGATGATTACTGAGCTGAAGCTAATTAACATATCCCTTACCTCACACAGTTCCCTTTTTTGTATGAAGAGAACATGAATGATCTATTGTCTTAGCAGATTTCAAGTATACAATACAGTAATATTAACTATAGCCACCATGCTGTACATTACATTATGTTTAAGTTCTTAATCCATTTTGAGTTAATTTTTGCATATGATCTGAGAAAAGGGATCAATTTTTTGCATATGGTGTGAGATAAGAGATCAATTTTTTCTTCCACATATGGATATCCAGTTTTTCTAACACCATTTATTGAAGAGACTGTTCTTTCCCTTTTGTGTGTTCTTGGCACCTTTGTTGAAGATCAATTGACTGTCAATGCATAGATGTATTTCTGTGCTCTCTATTTTATTCCATTGGTCTATATGTCTGTTTTTATGTTAGTATGTATTGTTCTGATAATTACAGCATTGTAATATGTTTTGAAGTCAGGTAGTGTGATGCCTCTAGCTTTGTTCTTTTTGCTCAACATTGCTCTGTTTGGAGTCTTTTGTGTCACATGAATTTTAGGATTTTTTTTTCTATTTCTGTGAAAAATGCCATTGGAATTTTGATAAGGATTGCATTGAACCTGTTGATGGCTTTAGGTCGTATGGGATATCTTCCTTTATGTGTGTATCTTTCCATTTTTTTCATCAATGTTTTATAGTTTTCATTGTACAGATCTTTTACCTCTTTGGTTAATTTCTAGGAATAAATTTTATTCCTATAAAAATATTTTATTTTTTCATGTTATTGTAGATGTTGTAGATGGGATTAATTTTTTTGGATAATTCTTTGTTAGTGTATAGGCATGCAGCTGCTTTTTGTGTGTTGATTTTGTATCCTGCAACTTTACTGAATTTGTTTATTCTAGCAGTTTTTTGGTGTAGTCTTTACAGTTTTCTATGTATAAGATCATGTCATCTGCAAACAGAGACAGTTTTACTTCTTCCTTTCCAATTTACATTCCTCCTATTTCTTTTTTTGCCTAACTGCTCTTCTAGGACTTCTATTACCATACTGAATGGAAATGGTGAGAGTGGGCATCCTTATTCCTGATCTTAGAGGAAAAGTTTTCAGCTTGTTTCTGTTGAGTGTGATGTTAGCTCTGGGCTTGTCATATATGGCCTTTATTATGTTGAGGTAAATTCATTTTATACTTAATTTGTTGAGAGTTTTTATTATGAAAGGATGTTGAATTTTGTCAAATGCTTTTTCTGTTAATATGGTATCCTTTATTCTGTTAATGTGGTATATATACCATTAAAT